CGGCGAGTACCGCGCGGCCGTGCACCTCCGGGACCGCTCCCTCGCCTGCCGCCTCCGTCTGCGCGTGGGCCAGGCCTCCAGTAGGTGGGGGCGGGCCGCTGGGAGCGGGGCTGGAGCCGGGGCGCCGCGGTCCCTGTCGCCCCGGGAGGCAGGAAGGGCCGGGGCAGGGGCTGTGCTTCCCGGGAGGCGCCCTGGGCCCCGCCCGAGAGCCCCCGGGAGGGGAGCGGGAGGGGGTGGGGAGCAGAGTGGAAGGGGCGCCCCCAGAGAAGCACGTGTGTGGGGAGAGGACCCTCTGGAGAGACTGTCTCACCCCTGGAGCTCCCCTCCGCCACGCACCTGGGAGTGCCAGGATGGAGGAGGGGAGGCACCCCTGGGTTGGGGGGAGAGTGCAAGGCTAGAGTGACTCCTTTCAGACATCTGTAGCTCAGGGGGTGGGCTGAGTGGGGATCCTCAGGCAAGGCGTGGAGAAAGGGAAGGGTCGACCATGTCAACCAAGTATACTGGAGGCCTGGGGGGCGGGGGGCGTGTGCAGGGGAGGGAGGCAGGAGATCCCGAAACATCCATTTTAAGCACCTCCAGGTACCAGGCACTGGACTGGTGGGGGTTGGGGAAGGGGGGTTTGCGGGCGGTGGTCGGAGGACGGTTGGGGAGGAGAAGACAAGTGTTGGCGGTGGGGCTAATCAAATCTTCTTTATCCGTGAGCAGTGACTGCCAGCCCCCCAGGGTCCCTCAGGATCTCCGACTGGGTCATTTTGAACTGCTCCTTCAGCCGCCCTGACCTGCCAGCCTCTGTGCACTGGTTCCGGGGCAGAGTCCCTGTTCACGAGTCCCCCCATCACCACATAGCTGGAAGCTTCCTCTTCCTGCCCCAAGTCAGCCCCTCAGACTCTGGGCCCTGGGGCTGCATTCTCACCTACAGAGATGGCTTCAATGTCTCCCTCACGTACAACCTCACCGTTCTGGGTAACTCCTCCAGTCTGCCTTCACCCTTGACCACAACCCCTCTCTGCCCCCCATCACCTCCCCCTGTCTTATGGGTCCCCAAACCAGGTCTCCGGCAGCTAGCGCCCACTGTGAATGCTCTGGGCCTCATGGCCCCACTCCCTTTTACCTCGCACTGCAACCTTTCAGCTGCCTTCCCCACTTCTGGCTTTTCCCTGGGCCATCCAGCCTCACTGGGCCACCTTTGGCCTCCTGGTGGCCCGGCCCACATGAGGGGCTCTGAACATCCTCAGTTCATCCACATTACTCTGCTCCCTTGCACTCTTCGGAGCTGGACCACCTCCTTTGCTCTTCTGCCTCCCGTCCCTGCCGCCCCAGTGCTCCAGCCTCTCTGTACCTCCCCCTCTCCACTTCAACTTTGGCTTCTCCTTCTTTCCCAGGTCTGGAGCCCTCAGTGCCTCTGATGGTGTATGCTGGAGCAGGTTCCAGGGTGGACCTACCTTGCCGCCTGCCCCCCGGTGTGGGGACCCAGTCTTCTCTCACTGCCAAGTGGACCCCTCCTGGGGGAGGCCCTGACCTTCTGGTGGCTGGAGACCATGGCAACTTTACCCTCCAACTGGAGGCTGTGAGCCAGGCCCAGGCTGGGGCCTACACTTGCCACATCCATCTGCAGGGAGAGCAGCTCAGCGCCATGGTCACTCTGGCAGTCATCACAGGTCAGCCCCAGGTGGGAAAGGATGAGCTCCCATCGCAGGGGAGCTGGGACAGGGAGGGCAGGCCGGCGGGCCAAGACTGGGCAGATCCGCCTCATGATACAAGGCCACCGTGTGCAAGTTGCAGAGGCTGCCCTGGTGGCCTCCTCTTTTCTCGCCCCCACATAAAGAACTGAAACTGAAAATCTCCCCTGAGTCACTAGGTGAACATTCCACTCTCCTCTAAGGGACTCCCCTGCTCTGAATTGGGAGGAGGGTCTGAGAAGTTAGAAGGAGAGGTGGCAAAAGTTTGAATGGTTCAAAAGAGGTGGACTCTATTTCTAGAATCCTCATCTACTTGGGGACCAGTGCTTGGCTTAACGTTGCAGGAAGTGGCTTGGATTTGGGAGGAGTTAATAAATCAGTCCTTTGGTCAGCAAATATTTACTGAGCAAGGACTGTTTTTTTGGTTTTTTTTTTTTAAGAGAGTATAAAACAAACACAGAAAAAACAACAACAACAACAAAAAGCCAAAACTCAGAAAGCGTGTGTTGATGGATTGGTAACTAGGAGCCACAACAGCTCAGCTATGTCTGTAGTATTCACCTGGGGTCACTAAACAGTAGCACCTCGTAGTAGGTGCTTAATAATGTACATTGGTTGAGTGAATCAGTGAGTACACTGACAGGTCATACATCTTCCAAGGGCCAATGCTGACTTTCCACCTGCTCCAGGATAGCTCTCCCTCGATGTCATACCCACACCCCAGCCTCACCCCGAACCCCATCCTTTCCTCACACCACGTGTCCTCTTGCTGACTTAGCCTTTCTGTCTGTAACTCCACCCGTATCCCACTCCCCTGAAACTTGGCCTCCTGTTTCCTCCACATCCAGTCAGCCCACAAAGCCTCCCAACTTTGTCCGTCCTAGGTCTTCTTGAGGGTCCGCTGTTTCCGGTTAGTTGTCCAGGCTCTCTGCACGACAGCTCACTGGGAGAGATTGTTGCCCCTGTAGAGAAGGAATTTCTCAAATCACAGGCCTGGGAAGTGCCAGCCTCGGGGTCTAAGGTCGGGTGTCTGTGTTGCCAAATCCTCAGGTGGCTCCACCACTCTGCTCAGCCCAAGACCCTTCACCACTGGTGTCCTCCTACCGGCCCTCTCTCTCACCGTACAGCTTTGAGATGCTCTGTCTGTAGACGGATGGGTCAGTTCACTACTCTCTGAACATTCAGAAAAGGGGGCAGAGTTCATTCAGGGGCCACCTCAAGGCAGGGGGCACTGATGTGAGCCAAGTCATGGAAACAAAAAAAGTGCAAGGTGTATTGGGAGGGGGGCAGCGCACCTGACTGATCTTGGGGTTTCTGAGCATTTGAGTGGGAAGTCGTGTAAAAGAATCCAAGATGGTATTTGTTACGTGATCCTTCCGGGCCAGTTTGAGTTTGAACAGTCCCGGAGGGCAGTAGAGAGCTTGGAGGCTGTTAAGCTGCAGAGGGATCTGCCGGGAGCTTTGTCTTGATAAGATTGATTTGGCCCTGACCCCGATCTCCTCCCCTCAACCTCACCCAATCAGAGCCCAGGTGAGAGCCTGAGTGCCGGGCGATTGAGACGGGGGAGTTGAATCTATGGTTTCAAGTAAGGGGGTCGGGCCCCCAAAGCTCTCTTCCCTCTGATTTTCTCAGTGACTCCCAAATCCTCTGGGTTACCCGGCAAGCTGAGAAAACTGCTTTGTGAGGTGACCCCGGCGTCGGGACGAGAGCATTTTGTGTGGAGCCCCCTGGATAAGCAGTCTTGGAGAGGTTCCCCGGGACCCCGGCTGGAGATGCAGGAGGCCAGACTCCTCTCTCAGCCCTGGCAGTGCCATGTGTACCAGGGAGAGAGGCTTCTCGGGACAGCAGTGTACCTCACTGAGCCGGCTGGCCCAGGTCTGAGACCCCACACATTCCGGACCAGTTGTCTTGACCCCACTTTCCAGACCGCTCCCCACCCTCATTCCAGATCTTTTCTTTCTAACCTCCGACTCTTGTCCAGGCCCCAACCCACTTCTGTCATTCATTAGCTAATGATCCTGGATAAGTCCCTCAACTCTGGGCCTCATTGTCTGCGGCATGTACGAGGGTGTGGCAAAATACCCTTCCAGCTATGACCCAGTATCTAATGCTATACTTCTTCTGTAGGTGCCCAGAGCTCTGGGAGGGCCCCAGGTGCCCTGAAAACAGGCCATCTCCCTCTCTTTTCCATCCTTGGTATCCTCTTTCTGCTCCTTTTGATGACTGGAGCCTTTGGTTTTCACCTTTGGAGAAGACAGGTGAGCCGGGGACACCCCTCAGCCCCCACCGGCCACTGGCTTCCCCTCTTTTCAGTTTTCTTTTGTTTTTTTTAAGATTTTATTTATTTGACAGAGAGAGACACAGAGAGAGAGGAAACACAAGCAGGGGGAGTGGGAGAGGGAAAAGCAGGCTTCCTGCTGAGCAGGGAGCCCGATGCGGGTCTCGATCCCAGGACCCTGGGATCATGACCTGAGCTGAAGGCAGACGCTTAACAACTGAACCACCCAGGCGCCCCTCTTTTCAGTTTTCTGAATGCTGTCTGGCACCCCTTCCTCAGGGAAGATGACCAAGGCAGACTCCTCATCCTGCCTTGAGAGCCCCCCTCTTCATAAGCCTCTCCAGGGACTTCTTGTGCTTGAAGGACCCAAGGGAGGCTTGAAGGGGCTGAGAAAAGGCCTGGGACCAGAAGGGGAGGGCAGGGGCCTGGAAAAGAATAGACTCATTCAGTATCCTCCTTATTGTCTTTCCCTTCATCCTTCTCCGCACCCACCCTCCATGTCTTCCAACAGTGGCGTCCAAGAAGATTCTCTGCCTTGGAGCATGGGACTCACCCACCTCAGGCTCAGAGCAAGATAGCGGAGCCGGAGCCGGAGCCGGAGCCGGAACCGGAGCCGGAGCCGGAGAAGCTCTGACCTGGAGCTCAGGCAGCCCGCAGATCTCCACAACTCAGTCCAAATAAACTCCCTGTCAGCAGCAAGCCTGAGTCTGGCTCTTTCTGTCCAGGAAAGGTTCCTGTGTCTGTCCAGGAAAGGTTCCTGTGTCTGCCCAGCCTCTGGGGGCTCCCTTCTCCCACCTCAGCCTTCCGACCTACTTTCCCCAGCCAATCTCTCTTATCTTCCTCTTTTCTGTTCCTGGCCTCTCCGTGATTCTTTCTGCCTTGGTCTTTCTCTTGCTGTCTCTCGCTCTCTCTCTCCCAGGTAGTCGTTTTTCTGAAGCTCCAAAAGCCCTCACCCCTTACCTCTACAGCTCTCTTCTGCGTCCTTTGCTCATGTTATGCTGGCTGCCCTGGTTTCCTTTGTATTTTTGTTCCCCTGGCCCACCCCACCCCACACTTGGCTCCATTTCACATTGTCCTTGGCCCTTTTGCTGCAGTGCGCGCGCGCAGACACACACACATACACACACACACACACACAGAGGAGCCCTGTCATGTCACGTCCTCCAGGGGATCAGGTCTTGTGACCTTTCTGGGCAGCTGGCTGAGGTTCCTGCTTGCCTTCTCCCCACCCCCACGTTCCCTGGCTCTGGGCAACCTGTGTGGTCCCAGGCACGAGAACACACTGCCACCCAGTGGCCACTGTTTGTCATGCCATGGGAGGTCACTGGGCAGGCGGGGGCAGGCTGGAGGAGACCAACAGCGCAGTGGTCCAGGCGGGCCCAGATCCCTGCGAGCGGGCACCACCTCTGCGGTGTTCACTTTGTGCGCTCCGCGTCTGAGTGTGCACCAAGCAGCGGTCACGTCCCCTGGGCACTCTCCAGGAGAGGGACCGAACCATGCCCGCCTCAGGACACAGAGCCCCGGCCCTGGCAAGGTTATGACCCAAGTCTGACAAAGGGGAGCGCTGCGAACAAAGGGCCCCGTGGTGAGAAAAATGGCCAGCAAGACAGCTGGTTGTGGCACAGCTGTGGGAGTCCAGAGACCTGGCTTCGGATCCTATCTCTGCTGATGGGACCAGAGCTGACCTCCTCAGCCTCGGTTTCTTCCTATTAAGTGGAATAATGATAATGACCCATGAAAAGGGGTTGCTGTATCAAATGGTCAAAGGGCTTTGAAAACTGAGGTGCCCCCGAGTATATGATGTGCTTGTCGGGTTCCCCACTTGTGAAGGAGGTAGCCGGCCCGTTCTGGTCACGCCAGGAAGGGTACCCAAGCCCCACAAGCATACCTGCCTCCCTCGTTGTCTGTCTTTGTCTTGGAAAGAACATTCCCCTGAGGCATGCTGACTGTCCTTCAGCAGAGCACACACACAGCTTTGGCCCCCAGCACCACCACCCCCACCCCCCGGGGAAACTAGACCTCCATCTGCGATACGCGCAGGGCTCTGGACTCAGCTGCACACAGCTCTGCCAGGGAATGTTAACCCTGGACAGGAGGAAACAAAGATTGGAAGGGAGTGGGAGTGAGCCTGCAGGAGCAGGAGATGCATGGTGGCAGACACCCTACTTCGTATCCCACCGAGCCTGGGTGCCACGTGCACAGTGACACAAACCAGGAGGCTGAAGACATATCCCTGTGGAGACACAATGGCGCGAGGCTTGGGGACAGAGGGGTACCTTTGTTCTGGGCAGAGCCTCAGAGGGCGAGGGGCACCCTCTGAAGCCTGAGTAATGAACCATTTAAAGCAATCTGAGTTTCTGAGCCTTAGGATGGTGGTAACCCTTGCCTTGTCACAGGTGGAGAAACAGTGACAAGGAAAGAGGCGCTGACACTCACCAGAGATCATCACGCTGTAAGGTGAAGTCCTGAAGTTCCTTCAAGAAGCCTCGAAAGCATCATCCCCACTGTTTACTGTGGGCTGGGGACAGCTGCTGAGGAGACCCCTCAGGTCTGCCCTATGACCCTGCTCTCCATAGCTGTAGTGGAAGCCCCCATGTTTTATTTTATTTTATTTTATTTTATTTTATTTTATTTTTATTTAATTTTATTTTATTTTTTTGCCTTATGTTTTAATGGGGCAGGGGTTTCCTGGAAAGTTCTGTGGGTGGCAATTTTCCTTTCTACTGGGTAACAACCTATGCCCTTTGGGCTTATGAGAGTAGTCATCAAGGATTCACCGTCGTCTATGTGGGGACTTCCCCGTGCTCCTGAATGAAGGGGACAGGGAGGGGACAGAGGCAGAATGAAAGGCCACCTCGTTCCTCTACCCACTAAGAAAGAGAAGAGCAAAGGGTAGAAGGAAGAGGGGGCATGAGGCTTTTGCATACAGGGCTCCTTCTTTCATTCTTACTCCTTCCTCTGTGGGATCTCTCCTAGGGGTGACACATTCCTGCTCCTCCCCCTTCCCCCCCAAAGCCCCATTCCCCATCTGGCAGGATAACCTCCGACCCTTTTACTGTCCTCTTAAGGCCCCCCAAAGAGCTAGGTGAATTTATCTTGCATCTCTAAGTTCATTGGCAAACCAGTGTTCCAGGTTGGGGTTCTGGAGGGGAAGGGACCCGAAGGAGGTGGGGAGCTCAGGAAACTTCAGTGGGGGCTGGGGTGGTGGATCATCTTAAACCCTTGTTAAAAAGAAAGGAAGTGGGGTGCCTGGGTGGCTCAATAGGTTAAGCTCAGGTCATGATCCCAGTTCCCTGCTCAGCCGGGAGCCTGCTTCTCCTTTCTCTGCTGTTCCCCCTGCTTGTGCTCTCTGGCTCTCTGTCAAATAAATAAGTAAAATAAAAATAAAAATAAAAAGGAAGGAAGCAAAAAAAAAAAAAGATGCTCTATTAGTTACCTATTGCCACATAACAAGCCACCCCAGAAGTTAGTAATTTAAAACAATAAACATATGATCTCACACCGTCAGGAAGCTAAGAGCAGCTTAGCTGAGTGGTTCTGGTGCAGGGTCTCTTGTGAGGCTGCTAAGATGTGGGCCAGGGCTGTGGTCATCTAAAGGCTTGGCCAGGGTGGAGGATCTGCTTCCAAAAAGGCTCCCTCAGGTGGCTGCTGGTCAGAGGCTGTATTTCCCCCGTGAGTGGGCCTCTTCATAACGCTGCTCGCTGCAGAGCAACTGGCTTCCTCTGGGGGAGAGAGTGGCCAAGAAAAAAGCTACCATGTCTTTATAACCTCATCTAGAAAGGGATACACCATCACTTCTGCCCTAGTCTATTGGTCACACAGACCAACGCTGGTACAACATGGGAGAGGACAACATAAAGGGTGAATTGGAAGTAGCAGGAAGCACTGGGGGCCATCTTGCTTATGACAGCTTGGCTATCGTGGGGGAACAGTGCCTGAGAGAGAGAGAGAGGTCAAATGAGGAGAAGGAGCGTCTCTGAGTTCCTCCATCCCTAGCCTTGCAGTGGGCCTGACAGCCTCCTCTACTGTCTACTGTCCAGAGGTTCTGGAAGCCAAATGAGGTCCAGGGTCTTGCCAAGTCAAGTGTGTCAGGCAAGAGGCCATACTGTGCTCATTCAGACCCGTGGTCACATTTGCCAGTGTGCCCCCCACTTTGACTTGGTCTTCTCATGTCCCCGGGCCAGGGCAGACACAGAAATTTCCCTGCCCCACCATCCCCACCAGGCAAAAGTGTTAGGGTTCAGGCCTGAGTCCCTGCTGTTGCCGCCCACCCCCCTCCAAAGGAGACGAACAAAGAGCTTAGGTGTCCCTGCTCAGGCCCCACCCCCAGGTGGAGTTAGCCCTTTGAAGGGAATGGCGTTGGGCTGAGGATGGCTTCTAGCTGCTGTGGCTGACAGTTTCTCCAAGGGCTGCAGGTGCAAGCCGGCTGAGCCCAGGCCGAGCTCTGAAATTTGTCTGCTCCAACCTCCCACGGGAGGTGGGAAACCCAGGAGCCTCCCTCCGAGTTGCCGAACATGGTCATAGAGCTAGGGACAAGAGGGCTGGGGTGGAGGTGGGTCAGGCCTCCAAGACTCTTGTTTCCCAAACAACAGCCTCGATCACCCCTCCCCCCCCCCCATCTCCAAGCCCTGCCCCCAGCCCCCTTTGCAGAGGGTGTCGGTGCAGCTGCAGAAGGTTCTGGTAAGGAGGCCACCACAAGACTGCACCTGGGGCTTCCAACTCCTTACTCCACAGGCTGCTCTACCCATTCTCCACCGGCCTGGTCCGTGACACTCCATCAGCAGGTCACCAAGTGGGTTTCGCTCTTCTCCCCATCTTTCTCCCACCTTGGGCTCCTTCCCCTCCTCCAGCCTGGAGACAGAATACACACAGCAAAAGTAGCTCTCTACCAGGAAGCAGGAGACTTCTGAAAATCCCCATGTTCCATGCTTACAGGCCTGTGATGGAGCAAACAGTTTCACTTCAGTTTCTTCTTCTGCAGAAGGGGGAACAGTAATACCCACCAAAATGTCTGACACGTGCAAATGTATGTGAAAGTGCTTGGAAAATGGAAAATCACTCAGTCGATGTGAGGGATCATGGTGGCGTGAAGCCTCAGGAGGCCCCAGACGTGCTTGTCACCCTCCTACCCCTTCATCACTGTGGGAGAAGACTTCTCTCAGCTGTCAGCCTGGCCTTCCTTTTTGTTTGTTTGTTTTTAAGCAATCTCTACACCCAGTGTAGGACTCAAACTCATGACCCTGGGATCAAACTCAATCCCAGGACCAAGAGTCTTGGAGGCCTTCCAACTGAGCCAGTGAGGAGCCCCCATCTTGGTCTTTCTTAATGCAGAGGAGAGGCGGTGGGGGTAGGGGGGCCATCCAGGGCTGGGGCCCCAGCAGCTAAGTTGGAATCCCAGTTCCACCAATATAGTTTACCAGCTCTGTGACTATTAGCAATTTTCTTAAACTCTCCGAGCCTTAGTTTCCTCATCTGTGTGATCTGGAGAAAAGCAGTTATGCCCTCTCATTGTCATGAGGATTACATAAAACATACAACCATATAAAGCACATAGCAGTCCTAACCGCTCAGCAGAAACTTCCTCTCTCCTCCTGTTATCTTTTCCTGCTTTGGAAACCCCAGAGGGAGAGCCAGGTTCTTGGGGCCTGTTAACTCCTGAGAATCCAACTTCATGGGTGCTCAAGGTCACAGACACAAGG